GTATATATATATAGTATATAGTAGAGCCATGATAATTTTCAACAACTTTTCCGTAGCGTGTGAAACAAGCTCGTTGTAAGCTCCGGAAGAGAGCCAGCCTACACATGCAGCGCAGGGAGCAGCAGGAGCAAGAACCCTCCTCCTCCTTATGCCACTTAAACGTGCTTGGGGTTTTTAAGTATTTTTTACATTACAGACGAAAAGCATTTTCTGATTTTTCCTTGTTGTATTTTGTCAGTAATAAAATTTAATACATACACACACGCACAATTTTACTCAATTATAAAAGTTTCCACATTAAAAGTTCATTGCAGAGACGGAAAGTCCGAGAGCAAGTCGAATGTGTGTGTGTGTTGGGTTAGGTCGTGTGTGTGCAGGCAGGAAGAGGAAGGAAAACGGCAGGAAGAGGCCTAGAAGCTAGGTCTCCATGCTGGGGATAAAAAAAAAAAAAAGAAAACAAACATCAAAGCCAAAGTGTCGCCGACAGAAAAAGTAACTTTTTTTTCTATTATTTTCCTCTGGCTTTGAGGGCCAGTCTGGGGCGACTTCGAAATGGGAACAGGGAGGGGGTTGAGGGGGATCTCGAAAAAAGGTTGTTGTGCCAAATGCACAGGGGAAGTAGAAGTACATGTATGTCTGCCACCCAAAAATTACTTTATCCTGCTCCTGCTAATCGGCAAACAGTATCTGCATAGCCCCAGCCTGGCCACGCGCTGCTCTTGCTAATTAGATAAAGGATCAGGGACACCGAAATACCCCCGGATGGAGTCCTCGAAGAGATGGGCAGCAACAACAACACACAACACAGTGACATTCAGAGATTTCGCCTGCAGAGGAGAGAGGGAGCAGCCGAAACCCACGCAAAAGTTGGTCATAATTCAATTATTCCTTCTTGGCTAAACAATTTGGGCCAAGAAACAAGTCTAGTCTAGGGATTTTACTTTAGTTTTATTATAATTTATAATATTAATTTAATTTTATTTAAGTAATAACAAATAATACAGAAATAAATAATAATATTAAGAAATACAAAAAAATAATAATAAACAACAAAAAAGAAGGGAAATGAAATCTTGATTTATTTATTTATTGCGGAAAGGGTGGGTGATTACAATAATACATTTTTGAAGTTTTAAATAATTTTATTTAATTTTTCAATTAAAAATAAAATTTTAATAATCAAAATTGAAATAATCAGGCCTGCTCCGGTAATCGAAAACGGCAAGAATTTTTCGTTTTCGGTTTTGAAAACGAGAAATTGGTGCTCCGGTAATCGAAATCGAAAGATTTTTTCGATTTAAAAACCGGGCACCTTTTTCTGGCCGGAATGAAAAGTAGATGGTTTTTTTTATATGAAATCAGATCTTATTTACAAAAGGAAAAAAATAGTTTAGTCAGCGGTCTATTGATGTTTATTCCACACCACCATAAGATCATTCTGGCAGGTAGTTATTTTATAAAAAATTTATTTCTGACCCCACCTCAGATTTAACAACAAAATTTTTGCCGTGTTCAACCAGTTTTCTCGGTTTGGCGATAGGTCGATAAGTTCACCGCAAAAAGTTATCGCCAAGGTTGCCATATTGTTGGTGGAACGAAACATCCAGTTAAAAATACTTATAAAATAGAAATGAATACATTAATAACTTTAAAGGACCGCCAAAATGGTTGTTTATAAATAATGCTATTTAATTTTATTACTTAAATGGTCCAAAATAACCAAATAATTACTTGAGACCACCGGAATTAAAACTGTGAAAAGTGTGGCAGCATCTTAGGTGCATGGATTTGCTTAATTCTACCATTTTTTGCCTTTTTCTGGCTTAGAAAAAGGGCAATTGTAAATATAATAGGCAGTACTTTACGTTGTTTACTTGTTACCAAACAACACAAGTTAGCTGCTTGAGCAGTGAGAAACGATGAGAAAACGAAACATCCGATAGCAGAAATTTGCCGAAAACCGGAGCAGCTAAAAACGAAAACGGTTCGTTTTCGCCCAAAACGAAATCGAAAAAATTTTACGATTACCGGAGCAGGCCTGAATAATTCATTTATTTTAATCGTTAAACATTTTTAATTTGAAAATTAACGGCCAAATTTAAATTTCAATTTAACGTTCAAATTCTGTGATTTTTTTAGATTTTTTACAATTTTTTTCGATTTAAATTGAACGTATTTAATTTGAAAATTAACGGCCAAACTTGAATTTAAATGTAGCGTCTAGTTTCAGTGTGCCCAGGTGCATTTAGCAACATTTTAGACAGAAATTAACAATATGGTCACATCTGGTTTGAGTCTGTGCTTACTCCAAGATCAATGGTTCGATACTTGGACTTTTTATAACAGTTTATACCAGTTTTCAGTTGCTTGCTGCTGGTTTCTGTTCGCCTGGTATCCCAGTTTGGGAAACGGCCAATTTGTATGGAAAATTTCAGAAATTTGGATGGGCTGCTGTAGGGATGTTGTTGTAAAAAGGTTGTTGTTGCCATCAAGTTGTTGTTGTCGACAACAAATAGGTATAAATGCATAAAATGAAATTAACAATATGGTCACATCTGGTTTGAGTCTGTGCTTACTCCAAGATCAATGGTTCGAAACTTGGACTTTTTATAACAGTTTATACCAGTTTTCAGTTGCTTGCTGCTGGTTTCTGTTCGCCTGGTATCCCAGTTTGGGAAACGGCCAATTTGTATGGAAAATTTCAGAAATTTGGATGGGCTGCTGTAGGGATGTTGTTGTAAAAAGGTTGTTGTTGCCATCAAGTTGTTGTTGTCGACAACAAATAGGTATAAATGCATAAAATGAAATTAACAATATGGTCACATCTGGTTTGAGTCTGTGCTTACTCCAAGATCAATGGTTCGAAACTTGGACTTTTTATAACAGTTTATACCAGTTTTCAGTTGCTTGCTGCTGGTTTCTGTTCGCCTGGTATCCCAGTTTGGGAAACGGCCAATTTGTATGGAAAATTTCAGAAATTTGGATGGGCTGCTGTAGGGATGTTGTTGTAAAAAGGTTGTTGTTGCCATCAAGTTGTTGTTGTCGACAACAAATAGGTATAAATGCATAAAATGAAATTAACAATATGGTCACATCTGGTTTGAGTCTGTGCTTACTCCAAGATCAATGGTTCGAAACTTGGACTTTTTATAACAGTTTATACCAGTTTTCAGTTGCTTGCTGCTGGTTTCTGTTCGCCTGGTATCCCAGTTTGGGAAACGGCCAATTTGTATGGAAAATTTCAGAAATTTGGATGGGCTGCTGTAGGGATGTTGTTGTAAAAGGTTGTTGTTGCCATCAAGCTGTTGTTGTCGGCAACAAATAGGTATAAATGCATAAAATGAAATATAACAGTTTATACCAATTATTATTTTTGCCCAAAAGTTTTTATAACAGTTTATACCAGTTTTCAGTTGCTTGCTGCTGGTTTCTGTTCGCCTGTTACCCCAGTTTGGGAAACGGCCAAATTGAATAAAAAATTTTACTCACTTGCATCAGTGATGCTCATGAGCATCAGTGATGCTCATCTAGCTATATTTCTATATTGAGAGGCTATAAAATCGGGCATTGCATCAGTGATGCTCATCTAGCTATTTTGCAATATTGGGAGGCTAATGACAGTGATGCGCATCTAGCTATATTTTGCATTATTGTTAGAAAATGGAATCTCACTAGCTGCCAGTGATGCTCATCTAGCTATTTTTTGCATTATTGTTAGAAAATGGCATCGCACTAACTACCAGTGATGCTCATCTAGCTATTTTGCTATATAGCTCATAACTCATAACTAGCTAGATGAGCATCACTGGCAGCTAGTGAGATGCCTATAATTTATAAAAAACCCTCATAACTCGGCCAAAAATGCATGAAATTCAATTTTGAAAGCTGTTCTGAGTTGCCCTTTCTAAGCTTAACAAAACTGCATACTCAGATTTGCTAAAATACTTACCTATAAAAATGTGAACCACACAACTCGGCCAAAAATGCATGAAATTTAAAATCTAGTATGCAGTTTTGTTAAGCTTACAAAGGGCAACTCAGAACAGCTTTCCAAATTGAATTTCATGCGTTTTTGGCCGAGTTATGAGGGTTTTTCTAATTTTTTGGTTAAATTTTTAATAAATTATAGGTAAGGATTTTAGCAAAACTGAGTATGCAGTTTTGTTAAGCTTACAAAGGGCAACTCAGAACAGCTTTCCAAATTGAATTTCATGCGTTTTTGGCCGAGTTATGAGGGTTTTTCTAATTTTTTGGTTAAATTTTTAATAAATTATAGGTAAGGATTTTAGCAAAACTGAGTATGCAGTTTTGTTTAGCTTACAAAGGGCGACTCAGAACAGCTTTCCAAATTGAATTTCATGCGTTTTTGGCCGAGTTATGAGGGTTTTTCTAATTTTTTGGTTAAATTTTTAATAAATTATAGGTAAGGATTTGAGCAAAACTGAGTATGCAGTTTTGTTAAGCTTACAAAGGGCAACTCAGAACAGCTTTCCAAATTGAATTTCATGCGTTTTTGGCCGAGTTATGAGGGTTTTTCTAATTTTTTGGTTAAATTTTTAATAAATTATAGGTAAGTATTTTAGCAAAACTGAGTATGCAGTTTTGTTAAGCTTACAAAGGGCAACTCAGAACAGCTTTCCAAATTGAATTTCATGCGTCTTTGGCCGAGTTATGAGGCTTTTTTATAAATTATAGGCATCTCACTAGCTGCCAGTGATGCTCATCTAGCTATTTTGCTTTATAGGGACAAAATGGCGTATCACTAACTGCCAGTAATGCCCAGTTAGCTATATTGCCCTGATGCTCATTAAAAACGCTTCATGATTTCTGTATTAAATACGATTTATTTATTTATTCATTTCTATTACTATATATTAAACTAATAATACTAATAATACTAATAATACTAATAATACTGTATATTTCTATATATTATTTTTATTTCTTTTTTTTTATTTATATTTCTATATATTAAACCCTTCTCCCTCTTCTCTTTGCAGGCTATGGCGGCATCTCCCCGCGCACGCAGTGGGGCCGGGTGGCTGCCTTGGTTTACGCCCTCTTTGGAATACCCATCGTCCTGCTGTACTTATCCGCCATGGGCGAGGCGCTCTCGGCGGGGATGCGCTGCCTGTTCCGGCGCCAGCGTATCAAAGGCGGCCCCGGCGGCGGACCTAGTGCACCCGGCGGCCTGGGTTCAGGAGCCGGCACCAGCTCCAGCGGCGTTGGCGGCGGCAGCAGCGCCCGGAAATCGGACAAGGGCAAGGGCCAGGGGCAAAATCAAGGACACTATGGCCACCAGAAGCTGCATCAATATGGCCTGCCGCCCTCCGTCTACCAGCAGCAGCAGCAGCAGGCCCAGCAGCAGGCGCAGCAGCAGGAGCAGCATCGACAGCAGCAGCAGCAGGGCAAAAAGTCATCCGGAGGACGTAATGGCAGTGGTTCACGCGGCTCACCCAGCGTTCCCATCTCCATCTGTGTGTGCGTGCTGCTCTGCTATGTGAGCAGCGGCGCCATCCTGTTCCACAAGCTCCAGAACTGGAGCGTACTTGAGTCGCTGTACTTCTGCTTCACCTCGCTGGGCACCATTGGTTTTGGTGAATTGGCCCCAAATGGACCGCTGGCCTTGTACACCGCCTCGGCGTATATATTGGTGGGTATGGCCGTGGTGGCCATGTGCTTCAGTTTGATCCAAACGGAGATTGTCCTGTGGCTGCGCCGATTCAGCGTTCAGGATCATGTAATGCCTAAGGCCGAGGAGCTAGCCCTCGTTTCCGTTTCCGTCACCCCGAAGCCCTCCTGACAGCGACCCAGTGCCGATCCCGCCCTCGGTGTGGGCGTCGGCGTAGGCATGGGCGTCGGCCTAGGCGGTGGCGGCGGTGTGGGTGTGGCTGGCGGTCTGCCCGCCCAGCATCAGACCATGTTCTTTGGTCCTGCCCATACGCTCACCCAGTATAGCTCACTGCCGCGACGCAGCCACTTGCAGGCGGCCAATGCCCATGGCGGTTCGGCTTTCCAGAGGAACACGCCCATTCGACGCTCGACGGGCATACCGGAGCATCATCTGGAGTACTTTGTGCCGCGCAGCATCAGTGAGTTCAATCTCTCCGGCGTGGGGGATCTGGCCCTGCCGCCACCGCGTCGCTATTCTCCGAATATGGGTGGCGTTTCTGCTGGCGGTGCCATGAATATGAACATGGGCATGGGCGGCATGGGCATGGGCATGAATATGGGCATGGGCATGGGCCTGCCGCATGGCCTACAGCTGGGTCCGCCCCAGACACTGATCTGCTCGGCGGCTGCAGCGGAGCAGCAGCAGCAGCAGCCGGCACCACCGCCGCCGGCTCAGCTACAGATTGTCACCCTGAAGCCACGCAGCGAGAAGATGGTGACCTTTGAGGATGAGTCCAAGTCTGCAGGAGGTGGTGCCTGTCCGCATGGAGTGCCCACCACACCGCGAAAATCCCCGGCGTCAGCAGCAGCCTCGGCGGCGGTCAATGGTTGCGATATATTCATGTGACCAGGACCAGTAGGGGGAGCAGGATCTGGAGCTGCTAATGATGATGCAGAGCTGAATGCGGCCATGCGGCTGAGGGACAGCATTGATGATGCACTCTGCCCCAAGACAGGACCGGCTCCAGGTGAAGTGATACGCGTCTAAAAAAGAGAAAAGAGAAATATAAGAAAAATAAGGAAAAAGTGTAAGAAAAATCTAAGAAAAATTTAAGAAATATCTAAGAAAAGTCTAAAAAAAAAAGCTAAGAAATTTCCCCAAGGCAGCCAAGACACACACAAAAAAACACACTGTAAGTAAATGCACACACATAAAACACCAAAGATTAAAAGGATAACGAGTAGAAGGAGAAAAAGCATTGCCTACTTTTCCGGGCAATAAACTAACATTTACTGCAGTTAATTGTGTTTTTTTTAGCTGTTTTTTTTCTACATTTTAAGCATAAACATAAACATTGAGCAAATATTTATTATTATGTGTGTAAATATAGCAAAAAAAAAAAAAAAAAAAACCAAAAACCACAAAGAACAACATGAAGACGTAGGTACGGCGAGTGAGTGAATTAAAATTAAAATTCCGTATGATAAATGCATAAATAATTGAATGGCTGCCGTTAATGCCATGGAACACGAATCCAGAAATTAATAAATACAAACAAACACACACACACACAGCCACATAGACAAAACTATGAATAATAAATAGTGAGTGGGCGTGGCAGGCGGGGGCAGGGAGTTCAAGTAGAACAAACAAAATGCAAATGGAAATGACAAATTGTATAAACACCAAAGGACAAAGTTTATTTAAGCGATTTGTTAGTTAGTTTTGCGCTTCTCTCACTCTCTATTTCCTTTTTTTTTGGGTGAAAAATTCTAATTGGTTTCGTTAGAAATTATTGTATAACAGTTTAGTTTGTTGTTTTTAAGGGTTTTGTTTGAACTGCAGATGGATTATAGACGATTAAAGCTTTAAAATGCTTAATTTATTGTTCTTTTTTTTATATGAAATTGTTAAATAACATTTTATAATTAAATGTACACTGTTATACCAAACGCAATTGCAATTCTAAAATGCAGTTCTTTTAATTCTTAATTAATTGGGTATTATTTACTTAGCTGTTATACAAGCATTAATTACCTAAACTGTTATAATAAGGTGCCAAAAAAAATAATAATAAATAAAACAAAATTCAACCAACCCAGCCAAAACGATTTCTATAAATGTCTGTTAAACCAATCTCCACAAATACATATACAAAACAATTTTGAACTGTTATACTGTATATGTACCATGTACTTTTAATGCTCATCCTCCAAGTGTTAAGTGTGTAAATGTACTATATGCATGTGTATATGTGTATATGTGGCGATAAATCAAAGAGTTAGACAAATACTACAAATACTGTTATACTGCATATAACCATAGATGTAACAACAGAGACATAATGATTAATGATCCACAAAACTGACATTTAATCCCAAAGAAATCGAGGAATTACCAACGATTAAAGCCAGAAACTTTCCAGCTCCTGGGTGAGCTTAGCTTTTTACTTCCTTTACCCCTGCTCCCCCTCTCCTTTTAGTTGGGGCTCCGCCCATGGCAATTAGGTTTAAATACTTTTTAAATGCATTTTGATTGTAGGTAATTGAGCGCGTGAATGGCCATTTGTTGATGCCTTGTTTTTGTTTGATTTTCTTGTTTTTTTTTTTTTTGTTGTTACTTGTTTTTGTCCTTGTGACAGGCCGCGTCCTGCCTCAAAAAAAAAAGTATATATATATATATATATAACCCATCGTTCGAATTGGACTTTTCATTATAAAATAAATTCAATTTTAGCGACCGCCTCCACCGAGTGGGGGCGTGGTCACCGGCTGTTGGTTGCATTTGTTAATTTTTGCCATATTCAATTTGTGGCATTCAATTAAAATAGTGAAATTAAACCAGATAGGATAGTCATTACTCCGTAAAAACCTACAAAAGGCATGACAAGAAGCGTGAAATTAATGGGAAAAATGAAAATAAAAAGAATAATCGAAATGAAACAAAAATTATATAATGAAAATAGGAAATAAAGCAACATTGCTGCTGCTTGTGTCATAGCCTAAGCCGATTTAGTTACATGTCTATGGTAGTTAATAACTAACTAACTAGCTAATGCGATGGCAGTAACGAAAAGCGATAAAAACAAATAATGAAAATAAGCCAATGTAATTAAATTAAGTTCACTTCCAACACACGCCACAGCCACACAGACACAGAGGTCCGTAACCGCAGACAAATTAATACTATCAAGTAAAAAATAGAAAATACAAAAACAAAAACCTAAAATTAAAACCAAAACTAAATGTAATGATAAAATTAAAAAAAAAAAAAAAAGAAAACATTTTTTTTTTTTCTGTCAAATTTCTAGCACGGTAAGTTGAACTTGTAGGCTAAAAACCCAACCGCATAGGCATTTAAGGATAAATTGATAAATTTACTCTTAATTCGTGTACTCTTAGGCCATAGTGTATAACCATTCCAAAGCAGATACAGATACATTTAAGGATACAGATACACTTAAAGATGCAGATACATTTAAAGATTGAAATACTTCAGATGCAGATACATTTACAGAAACAGATACATTTGAAGATACAGATACATCTACAGATTCATCTACAGATACAGATACAAATACACATACATATGTAGCCGTACACAAAACGAAAACTAATCTAGCATTGTGAAAGGTAAATAAATAATAATTAAGGAATACTGCAGTTAGCATCATATACATATACTATATATATATGTATACATACATCTCTCTCTCTATATATATATACAAAAACTCAAACAAAAGAAAAGAGAAGAATAAATACATCATGAACAATTTAGTCAAAAATCAACAAAATTATGTTTGCTTTCTCTTTTTGGGGATATGAAATCACAAAAAGGTAAGCCTGGGCTTTGGGTTGGTTAATGAGGATTATAGTACAGGTAATTATAACCTTTGAAGTGGACTTCTGCTCTATTTGTACAGGAAAATATAATTTTTAGGGAATTTTTTTTAAACAGAAACTGGCCGCTTTTAGCTGCATTTTTAATTCTTGTAAATTTTTAAAGGGAAATATAATTTCAAGGAATTTCTTTAACAAAAATGTCCCACTTTTAGTTGAATTTTGAATTGTTTAAAATAAATTTCAGGGAATTTTTTTATAAGCATTTGCCATTTTAGTTGCATTTTTAATTTTTGTAAATAAATTCTTTGGAATAAAAAATAGTTTTAGGGAATTCTGTGGTGAATTTTTAACACAAATTTCCCCACTTTTAGTTGTATTTTTAAATCTTGTAAATATATTTGTAGAGAGAAATATAATTTTAGGAAATTTTGAACAAAAATTTACCACTTTTAGTTGTATTTTTAATTCTTGTACATTTTTAAAGGAAAATATAATTTTGGGAAATTTTGAATTGAATTTTTAACAACAATTTGCCGCTTTTAGTTGTATTTTTAAATCTTGGAAATAAATTTGTGGAGGGAAATATAATTTTGGGGAATTTTTAACAACAATTTGTCACTTTTAGATGCATTTTTAATTTGTATAATTAAATTCATAGAAGGAATTATAATTTTAGCAAATTTTGGATTGATTTTTAACACAAATTTCCCACTTTAAGGTTCCATTTTTATTTCTTGTAAATTATTTATGACCCTCCAGATCATTTTTAGGAGAGCCAGGGTAAGTACTTAAATATAACTTCTTCTATTTTTTATAATTTTAAGATTATAAAAGTACTTACCAGGGATTTGTCCGTCTATTTGTCCGCTTAAGGGAATAACTGCTTACATTTTTGTTATACTTCCCGATAGCTAAGGTAAATATTTATTAATATTTTGCACTATTTATTATAATTATTAGCTATACTTACCATTGACTTGTACGCTATCCTGTCCGCTCAAGGGAATTATCTGTTATATATCCATTTCCAAAGGAAAGTACCCTGCCATTTTCTCGTTTTTGGCCTGAAAAGAAAATACAGCACATCATCAAAGGGAATTTCGTTATAAAGCTGGACGCAGAGTCAGTGGAGCGGCAGTAAATATTGCGGAATGTGAATATCTTAAATTTAAATTAAATTGGCTCAAAAATCAATTTGTGCGTTAATTGATAAAGATAAAAACGGAAAGGAACCTCTGCCTCCACCAGAGATACCGCTTTCAGTATCCATCGCGTTTTTACCTTTCTGTTAATTTTTTTTTTTTTTGCATGTGAATTATTTAATCATTTAATTAGTGTTAATAATTTATAGCAAACAGCTTCGCAATCAATTTGCATGGCTGTGTGCAGGGATATATATTGTATATATAATATATATATATATATTATATACATTTATCCTGCTGCTGTATGCGTTGGCATTTTATGACAACTCTGAAATGAAATTTCACTTAATCAAGAGGCGAAACTCAGGTGTGTCCAGCTCTGTCTCTCTCTCTCTTTCTCTTTCTGTGTTGCTCTCTCTCACTCTGGCACATCAATTTAATTTACTTGTGACAAATATCCCCATATCCGGACAACACCAAAAGGACACCAATCCTCCTCTCGAGGCGAGTGTGTTTGTCGATTCTATAGACGAAATGTCAAGTGGAAAAGCATTAGCCCATCAAATGATGTGTAATGTGCTTGAATCTCTCTCTCTGGAAAATTATCAAGGCAATGCATACAGGCATTTGTACAGTAGGTGACATCAGTATAAGGTTGTAACTGAAATTAAAAGAAACAATAAAAAAAATTAGATATATATAATACAGAAAAGGTAGTAAAAATAGAAAATGGAATCAAAATATACATTTTGCTAACTTTCACAGTTTTAAAAAAATGTATTAAATTATTTTTAGCCCTAATAATATAGTAAATAAATTTAAAAAATTAATAAATACTTTAAATATAATTTATAAATATATATTTAATAATAATATAATTTTGGGTGTTACATTTTGGCAACTTTCACATCTTAAAATATTTATTAAAATTATTTTAAGCCTTTATAATTTAGTAAATAATTTTTTCAAATTAATAAAAAGTTGAATTATAACTTATAAAATTATATTTATATATAAATATAAATTATTTACATGAAAAGTATAAATATTATAATTAAATATTATAATTAAATTAAATTGATTAATAATTTGTTAGCTATAAAAGTTACCAGAATCTTTAATTTATATTTCATTTGAATTGAAATACCTATAAAAGTCTCTACTGTCCTGCCATATTTACATTGTTTGCTTTGGTCCTTGTTTCATTCGAATGTTTTGTGTGTGTGTGTCATTATCATCATCATCAGCCTCACCGAATTACTTCAATTTACACAGAGATGGAAGGACATTAAATTAATTTCGGCAAATGGCAGGACTTTGCAGAGCTGCCAGAGCAGAATAACATCCATTCAATCCAATACCACACAGAGCAGGTGAAGAGGGATCAGCTGGCCGAAAATGGATGCACATTCTAGCACCGATCAACAATGACAAGCCAAGGCACAGATCCTTTCAGGCTATTAGGTAAGGAGAAGTAGACGATGAAGCTTATAAGAAACTTGGACACATTTAAGTAATAAATTTCGCTTAAATGTTCTCCTTTTGTTCAAGTCATTAAAATCGCATTTGCCAGAAGAGAGAGAGAGAGATGATGATGATGCTGCCACTGAGGATGATGATGATGATGATGATGATGGTCTTCATCCTCCTGGCTCCTGACTCCTGCTCATCTTCTTGGCAATGCGTTGCCATTAACGTTGACTGCTACGTTGTCAACACACTTGACATATAATTTGATTACGCATACGCATTTTATTAACTCATTTTCAGGGCAAGCATCCGCCCCGTTGGCCCGATGGCGATATGATATACTTATGCGCGAGAGATATGCCTCTCTCGCCCCCATTAACGGTTACGTTGTGCCGGCTCTGCGGTTTTCAAGTGCTCCCATCCCAGCCTTGTCTGTTCTCCCATCTTCATATATATCCCATCCCATATATTCCATATATACCCCACATACCCCACATACCCCTTTTTGCCCATCGTCATCGTCGTCGTCCTTGGTCCTTTGCCTACCCTTCATTCGATTCCCTGATTCCGGCAGCATATTGTCTGAGTCTCAGTCAATTACAACAACTCGGTGTTCGTCTAGCGATGGTAGGTTGTTTTTTTTTTACAACAAAAGGGAAGTTTAGTTATATGAATATATAACTTTAATATAGATTTTTAATATTTAATTTAATAAAAAATGGATTAAAAAAAAAAAATATTTAAAATATAAATATTTAAAATATAAATATTTAAAATATAAATATTTAAAATATAAAATATATAATATATAATATATTAAGATTTTAAATGGTTTTTTTTTTCAGTAGTCTGGTTATTCAGAAAATTTTTATATATATTTAATTTCTACTGGAAATTTTAGTATAAATATAATATATAGATGGGACCTTTTTAGCCAAAAAGGAGTAGTTATATATATAGATATAGTACGATCCTACAGAATTTCGCTAGCTGTTCTTCTGCTTGCCTGAAGACTGGTCTCTTTTGGTGTCATCTCTAAAGCGCCAGCAGCGGCAGCAACTAATTTCTTTTTACAACTGTAGCAGCTTTATGGAAACGCAAAAACCCACATACACATGCATACACCCACACAGCATACACACACAGCCAAACTTACACTCAGAAAAGAACTAATAAAACCCTTAAAATCGAAAAATATAGCTTTAAAATTGTTCAGATCTAAGAACTATAAAAATTCTTTAACAAAAATATTTTTAAAAATATTTTACATATTCTAATCCTTTCTTACAAAGCCTTTTATTTTTTAACAATTTTTGTTAAAGAAAAAATGTTAAAAAATAAAAGGCTTTTTTTTAACAATTTTTGTAAAAGAAAAAATGTTAAAAAATATTTTAAATATTTTAATCTTTTTTAAAAATCCCCATTTAGTTTCCCCTATTTTTTCTTTAACAAATATATATAATTTTTATTTTAATATTTTACATATATTAACTCTTTGTAAATCGCTTTTTATTTTGTCCCCATTTTTTTCATTAACAATAATAGTTTAAAATAATATTTTAAAAATTGTTACCCTTTTTTATAAACCACTTTTATTTTTCCACATTATTTTTTTGAACAAAAATGGTTGAAAAAATGTTTTTAAAAATAATTTAAATATTTCCACCCTTTTATATTTTTCAATTTCTTATTTAACAAAAATACTTTAAAAAATATTTTAAGAAATATTTTAAATGTTTAAACCCTTTTTATAGGAAAAACTTTTATTTTCCCTTAATTTTTCTTTAACAAAAATATTTTGTTTAATATTTTATAGTTCAAAAAATATTTTTAAAAATATTTTAAATATTTTAACCTTATTTTTTGAAACCCCTTTTATTTTACCCCTACTTTTTCTCTGAGTGGCTTGTGTTTGCAGAGCCTCAAACAGCTGCTGCCGCCAGGCGAAAGCCAACGCCAAAGCCAAGCCAATAACCCAAAGGAGAGCAGCCACAAGGAGTTGGAGCGAGCTGTTTACTTGAAACAGACCAGCACACACACACACATACACACGCACACGCAGGCACACACATGCAGCAAAAAGGACCTAAGCCGAAGGACGCAGGACTAGAGAGGGAACCGCAAAACTTATGCCTTGGCCCCAGCAGTAGCTACCAGCCATTGAAAAGTCGTTAGCAAAACGTCAGACAACACACGGCATGGGTTTAATGCTCCTCCTGCTCCTCCTCCTGCTTCTCCTCCCCCCTGCCTAACCTTGGGCTCCTTGGAATCCTTTCCAGCGCCTTTGGCTTTGCAACTTTGCAGTGGGTTTTCGAAAAGGGATTCTTCTTCCGCTTCTGGTAATATAGAGCCAAGTAACCAACTGAAAGGCAAAAGGCCCAAAAACTCTTGATGGAGTCGAGTGGGCCAAGACAAATATCAACAGAGAGAGATAGATGCCACAACGTCAAGTCCTTACAGGATTAAACCGATTAAAGTTAGAGAAAGTAAAAAAAGGATAATCAAGAAAATAATACCTGAACCGTGGGCCAAGTTATTCGTTCGATCGAAGCGATTAAACTACAATTTGTACGATGGCCTAAATCAAAAGCAATGGTTAGAGAGGGTCTAAAGGCTGGATCTGGTCAGTTGATTTGGGGTTTAACCAACGGAAAAGGGAAACCCTCTGGGTTGCTCTGGCTAATAACCCAACCGGGGGGACACCGGCTTCTGCCAAGTCTTGCGCAACCGAAATTAAAAAGTTCCTGGCTTTTTCGCTCGTCTGGCCACTTCCGGGGCCCCGGCCAAGTGCAGCCATTTTGCGTACGACCATAAATCTATTAAGACAATTTGGCAAAAGGCAAAGCAGCCCAGGAAGGCAATACATACAGAGAGAGAAAAAAAAAAAAAACAGAAAATACAAAAAAGAAATCCAAAAATAAATCGCAGTCTTGAAACTTTGTCTACTTTCCGTTTCTTTTTTTTCTTCCATTTTTATTTGTATTTTATTTTTGGTGGAACGCATCCTAGTGCCAAAAGCAACCGCACAGAATCGGAAAACGCAGCAAGGATAACACAGAGGAGGTGGTGGGGAGAGGGAAGGTGAGGGGGTGGCTTAAAAAAAAAGGACATGGCTTGGTAAAGTAGCAGAAGGAGAGCAAACAAAAGTAAACATACCGCCTTTCTCTTCATTTTTTCATTTTTTATTCTCATTTTTTAAGTACTGTCAAGGGTATCGCTTGCTATCTTATGTCCTATACACACACACACACACACACACACACACAAGCTGTAGAAGAGAACACATACATATATAAAGGCATGCTGATGGGTGATTATATGACAAGCTCAGGGAGCGTTACGCTGCACTGCCAGAAATATGGTTTTAATTAGGAAAATCAAACGAGTTATAAATATAAATTGAGGAAAATATAAGAAAATATTAGAAAATATTAGAAAATATTAGAAAATATAAGAAAATATTAGAAAATATAAGAAAATATTAAAAAATATAAGAAAAAATATTTAAATATTTTTAAATATATTTTTAAAACTAAATAAATTTATTAAATATAAGAAACCATATTTATATAGATTTTATATATATTTTTGAGACTATATATATATTTTTTTTTTACTAGCTTTAAAAAGAAAACTAAATTTAAAATATTTACCTATAATATATAAATATTAAAATTAAATTATGCAAATATTAAATAATAATTTTATATGATAATTTAAAATAATAATTTTTGGTAAATTTTTGGAAAAAAAAGGGTTAACGTTTTTTTAATTTTTCGAAACATATTGGGTTTTAAAAAATTTATAACTAGGCCAAAAATACATTAATTTTAATACGGAAAGCTGCTCTAAGTTAATTTTTTTAAGACTAAAAAAACGGAATACAAAATTTAATTTAAAAAATTTAACTACAATTTTATATAATTTTTTGAAATAAACAATATTTAAAAAAATAAAATTATTATTATAATTTTTGGGAAAAAATTCAAATTTAAAAAATCTATAACTAAGCTAAAAATGCATTAAATTTAATTTGGAAAGAAGTTTTGTCATAGTTTTTGTAAGGTTAATAAATATACAAACTAAATTAAAATTTTTTTAATTTGATTTTTGGCCAATTTTTGAAAATTTTAATGATGTAACCCCTTATCACATTTTCAAAAAAAAAAAAAAAAAAAATTTTTTTCTTCA